CTGTAACTGGCTAGCCTCCTCCAGGGTAGAAAAGAGCTCCTGGCTGCATTCATCTCTGACCTCTGAGTCGTCCTCTGGGCCCCCTCCCCATCCAAGATTTCCTCTTCCTGGCTCAGTCCACTCTTGACTGGCACGTGAGCCACAGAAGTATCCACAGTGGCCTTTGCAGTGGAGGTGGGGTCACCACTGAGAATCACGTCCAGCTCTTTGTAGAACCGGCAGCTCATGGGCGCAGCACGAGAGCGGTGGTTTGCCTCCAACGCCTTGTGGTAGGTGGTCTGCAGCTCCTTCACTTTGACCTTGCACTGCAGTGTTTCCCGGTCATGGCCCCTTTCTGTCATGCAATGTGAAATCTGTCCATAGGTATCATAATTCCTACGGCTGTAGTGCAACTGAGACTGGAGAGCCTCCTCTCCCCAAACGCTGATGAGGTCTAGCAGCTTGGCTTTGATCCAAGCAGGGGATCGCCTTGTGCATGGAGCAGGCATGGTTACCTGGAAAGATGTGCTGAGACCACTGCATGCATCACCAAACAAACAGGAAGGGGACTTTCAAAATTCCACAGGAATTTACGGGGTGGGGATGATGGTTGGTCATCTGAGGGCAGAGCAGTAGAGATCAAACTATTGATCAGAGAGGTGAGAACAGTCATTGTGGGACAGCTCCCGGAGGCCAATCGCAGCGCTGTAATCAACCAGGGTGTTTACACTGGCACCACGGCGCTGTAGCCCTGGTGCAGAAAGCGGTTTGCCTCTCGTTGGGGTGTTTTTTTTTACAGTGCTGTAACTGCGCACTAAGTGTCTTGGCAGTGTGTACACCTTGGGAGTTACAACGCAGAAAGCTGCTTTACTGCACAGAAACTTGCTAGTGTAGACACGGAATTCTTATCAATGACAGCAAGGGAATCCTCAGCTAGGAAGATCTATGCACTTTCACACTTTTTTCCTGTGTCAAAGTAGCAGAATGGGGTTAGATTACAGCTCAGGATTTATTTTACTTACCCATTTTTTAAAAAAAGAAAGACTTTGAAGGCAAATGAAACATTTACCAAGCAGTCAATAAAATGTCAGGACAATCAGAACCAAGCACTTCCCAAAGTACCCAGCCAGGTCCAGCACAACGATTAGCAAAACTGTATGACTGTCATGTGTGGAGGTCTGAGCAATTTAAAATTACATTCTACTTTCTTTTTCTCCTGTTTGGTGTTCTGTAATGAAATTTAAATGAAAATCCAGGATTATAATTGGAATGCAGGGTATTAGTTACCAAGTGTTTGTAACTCAACTGTCATGTGTTTAGGAAATGCTAAATAGTTGTCGTGACTTTTTTCTCTATTGTAGTTTAAATAAATTGCCAAAACAATTGAAACTGGTGTGATTATATTGCATTATTTTGACAAAATATGCAGAATTTTGTATTTTTGGCACACAATTCCCCCAGGAGTACAATGTCTCCCCTAACACTTTCTGTGTAGAACTACCTCCTTTCATTGTAAACCTGCTGCCTATTAATTTCACTGGGTGACCCCTGGTTCTTGTGTTATGAGGAGTAAATACTCCCTCATTCACTTTCTTCACACTCATCAGTTTATAGACCCCTATCATATCTCCCCCCCCTTTAGTAATCTCTTTTCCAAGATGTAAAGTCCCAGTCTTTTTAATCTCTCCTCATATGGAAGCTGTTCCATACCCCTATGGACATTTTTGTTGTCCTTTTCTGTATCTTTCCCAATTCTAATATTTATTTTTTGAGGCAACCAGAACTGCGCACAGTATTCAAGGTGTGGCGTACCATGGATATATAGTGTCATTATGATATTTTATTATCTAGCCCTTTTCTAATGGCTCCTAACATTGTTTCTTTTCTTCTTTTTTTTTTTTGACTGCTGCTGAACATACAAGAAGCTGAATAGAAAGAGACTTTATGAGAGGCACTGCGTTTACGGACTGGGCATGCATTTTACATTCAGGAGGCCTAGGTTCTAATCCCAATAATGGGTCAGCAACCTTTCAGAAGAGGTGTGCCGAGTCTTCATTTATTCACTCTAATTTAAGGTTTCGTGTGCCAGTAATACATTTTAACGTTTTTAGAAGGTCTCTTTCTAGAAGTCTATAATATATAACTAAACTATTGTTGTGTGTAAAGTAAATAAGGTTTTTAAAATGTTTAAGGGGCTTAATTTAAAATTAAATTAAAATGCAGAGCCCCCCGGACCGGTAACCAGGACTCTGGCAGTGTGAGTGACACTGAAAATCAGCTCGCGTGCCGCCTTCGACACACGTGCCATAGGTTGCCTACCCTGGACCTAGGACAAGTCACACATTTCTCTATTTCTCCATCTGTAAATAAGAGGTAATCAAGCTTATTCACCCTTTGTTAAAAGCCTTGCGATCTACAGCCGAAAAGGCACTATTTAAACGCGGAAGGATGATTTCTCACTTTCTTCCACACACCTAGAATATGCATTCTAAGCAAGAAAAGTGTTTCAGAGGTCAACTGATTTAGATAGATTTTCTTCCTTAGAAAACAGATGTTCATTAGCCTTAAAATCAGGATGATGGATTAAAAAAAACCCAGACAAGGCAGAATGGAGTGTATGCAGGCTTTGTGTGATCAGGTACAGTAGGTATCACTGAAAATATCA